GCCTGAAGAAACAACCACTGCCAAGCTGTTCCTGATGATATGTGCCATTATTACAATCAACTCTGCTCAGGAAGCCAAGGTCTCTATCCCTGTCTGGGCAGCCCTACGCAAACCACCTGGTCTTATACCTCTGACTCTCCTACTTTTCCTGAATTCTTCACTACCCATTGCTTTCCAGGAATTCCCTGTGATCCCCACATAAAACCCGCGATGGTCTCCTTCTCCAACTGGACTCTGCCTACCAACTTTCCAAACCCCTTTACTTTTCAGGCTTGTGCCAACAACTCAGACTGGCCCAACAACTTAACTGCCCATCTAATGCTTTTTAATTACACCACAGCAGACTTCTCTAGGTTCAAACTGCTCCTCAACAGGTACCCACTACCTGTCTAACTGCTGGAATGGAACCTCTCCTTATGTGCTCATCTTTCGCACCCACTCTGTCCTCTGGGTGCCAGTTAATATCTCTAATTGGGTAGCTCCATCACTCCCTATCCAGCTTTCTTCTACCTCCCTACATATACACAAGAGAGATTTTGGAGCCTCGCTATTGCCGCCCTTATTAATGCTTTTATTACAGCCACAGCAGCAGAAGCCACAGCAGCCTTGCGCTCACCCAATCCACCGTGACCGCTCAAGGACTTAACAACCTTTCCCATACTGCCACTGAGACCTTCCAAGTGCAACAACAGCTTAACGCCTATACCCATATGGCTCTTCTTAATCTCCAACAACAACTTGACCTCATGGACAATGAAATTCAAGACCTCTGGAGCATTGCTACCACTACCTGTGATCAACGCTTCTCATCGACCATACTTTGCATCACACCAAAACCAGCCAACCTCTCTTCTGCTGGTCTCTCGCTCCGTGAGTGGATCCTTGGCCCTTACAACAGCACTTACTTCAACCTCTCCCTTCAACTGACTAAACAAATACAAACTATTGACTCTATCCAAGTTCCTATTTTAATGGACAATGTCCTCTCTGATCTCCTACACAACCTACTGTGCCTATTCTCACCAGCCAATTTATTTACCCTTGGATTCTTGGGACTTCTAGGACTTCTTGCTTTAATCGCGCTTCGTATGATATATACCCGGTTACAAATGATAACCTCTAAACAGGCTATGATGGCCTCAATTCAATTGGCTTTTATAAAAAAGAGGGGGAATTTGTGGGAAAGAGAGGTCCAGAGGTCTGGTTGACGGCCGTGGTGGAGGAGCGAGTCTGAGCACACTCGGACTCGTCATGTCCTCGGCACACCGAGTGAGTCGCCCTGCCCAGGTTGTCCCGCTCTGACCTCTTACTTCTGCACAGCCCCCACGCCAATAGTACCACCTCCAAACCACGCCTCTAGCCTGCTCAATAAAATGCCGGGTACTTCCGCAATAAAGTGGATCTGTGCCATCAGCCTGGTCTCCAGTGTCCTCTTTGTTCACCGTCGCCGCTTATCACGGGCCCAGGTCCCTCGACCCGAGAGGTCCTACCTCAGTAACTCTGATATGTTTCTTTTTTATAAGGAATCGGAATCTTTCACATATAAGTAGAAACTATATTAAAATTTCAGACAGACTGCCCCAATATGTTATTTGGAGAACAAAATCATAGCATCTAAATAATTTGAATTCAAAACATAAATATGTGATTTTGACAATTTAATGTTTGTTTCCTTAAGCTAAAAAAAAGATGGGAAAATGACAATTTCTGAAGGCAACTGTTAATAGAGCAGTAAGAATTTTTTTCTTTCTAAACAAATCTTTAATATGTGATGTGAACTTGAAATTCATTTTGTTCCTGTTTCTTCATAAATTATTACCATCCTATGGGTAGGTTGATTTGTATTGTAATTGAAATTTTAGACCTGTTTTCACACATGAGTAGTCAGAATGAGCTGGAGTCCACTTGAACTGTAGTAGACATTAGCTCTGGGATCCTTCTAGGGAACTTTACTGTGGTGGCCTCTCTGCTCGAGAGAATCACTAACCCTGGATCTCTAGAGTCATCCATCCCTTTTGTACTGTGAAATGTAAAATGCTTAGAGTGAGCAATAATTTGAATTGTGAGAAGAAAGCAAGGAAACAGTGGGTTTGGCTGTGCGTCAGTTTAGAGATTCACATTGATATTGTGGAGAAATGATGTTTGTATTTAAGGGGAAAATAGAAGAGTTTTAGAGTAAAATTTTAGTATTCGTATTTTTCTTTTTAATGGTTAAATTCATGAATTTTCATTGATTGAAATATCTTTAGAAGGTATTAGTGCAAATTATTTAAATACATTCTATTTAACACATTATTCATGTGCTTCCTGTTAGCATAGTTGTGTATGTTCATTTACTTTAAAACAAGTCCGTAGGATATCTCTTCTCTACCATTTGGCTAGATAGTACACATGGATTTCAGTTCTTATTGCATGAGATTACATGTCAAGATTACATGGTGCATATTACACAAGCAACAGAATCAGTGATAGCATAAATCATAAAATCCTCAGCAGTGAACATTAATTCTAGATCACTAATCCCAGAGATATTTCAAAGTTTCATCCACATTAACTTTCTTTTCTTAATTTCTTTTATTTCTTTCTTTATTTTTTTCATTGCTGGCCTTTTTGTATGAGTAGGTATAGTCATCAGTTTGAAAATCCTAGTTTAAGTAGCATTATCTGTTACCTGCTGTCTTACAATTTCCTAAATTCCCCCTTTCCATAGTCTTGCCACTCAACAAACAAATTCATTAACTGAATTAAGAAAAAAATTCTTACCTTTTTATTAAGTAATTCCTATCATAACTCTCCTGAAACTGATGGTTCTGTGAATACCCAATTCCCCATTTAGATATACTTAATCCATTTGAATTATCTGGTTATGAATCATCCCTTACAAAATAAATCTGTTCAGTCAGCTTTGAGATTTCAGTGAAATTTGGAAACTTGTGATGCTACAGAAATATGAGTTTCTCCTGGAAGGATACTTTATCCCATCCCTAGCTTAGCTCTCAGTTTGAACAACTCTGAATAAATCACGAATAATTATTCTTGGTGAAAATGAAAAGCCAAACACCAAAAAAACAAGGAAAAATCAGAGATATTTTACCTTAGGCAAAGACTTGGCAGGTTTGCAGTGGAGTCCACCAACAAACTCAATATTTGGCAAAGTTGGGCAAGGAAATTCCAAATCCCAGTAGGATTGAATGAGCCACGTTTCTGCTTTTTCCATACTCTGTGATATGTAGTGGGTTTCCCTAAACGAAGAAGGAAAACAAAGAAAGAATGAAAGAGAAAGAGAGACAGACAATAAGACAGAGAGAGGGACAGAGAAGCAAAAGAAAGAAAGAAAGAAAAGAATAGAAAGAAGGAAAAGAAAAAACAGAGACAGTAGAAATGGCATAATAATGATCAAGTTGTCTCTTATAATGAATGATGTATACATTTCCAAAGGCATTTGACTAATTCAGTCAATGATGCAACTAAAAATGTATAAGCTTTTGCACACTGAATAAAAAATTGTTAACTTTTAGATATCCTAACTCATACACATGATTTTTACACATGTAAGCAGAACGTTTGAGCATTTGTGTCTGCATATGTACCTATGAAGGACTTAGAAAGGGACAATGATTTCTGATGTCACCTCAGTTTATTCATAACAATAGACACTAAAATGAAACCCTATAGATTTAATCATGAATTAATATGCTATATAAAACTGAGATATTGGCAGGTGGGAAAATAAACAATGGTTTCAGTTCTATCATTGAATAAAGTTACTATAATAATGGAAATAGCTTTCTCAGGAGTTCTCAAACTACTTTCTGTAATTTAGCAATCTGAACTTGATCTCTCATTTTCCAACAAACTGAAAATTTCTAAATTGGTGGCTGATTTATTGTATCTACTTTGAATTTTCTTCACTTTAACAGTTTTGTGACATTTATTATGCAGAAATATTTACAAGTACTAGCTTGAAAACTTTCAGAAATTGTCAAAATGGAGATGTCTAGTCACCCACAGTTTCCACCCTTTTTTTAAAAGGAAGGAACATGACTTTAAAAAATGATTAATTACATATATGTACCAATTACTTAGAGAATACGTTTTGGTCTTTTCAGTGATTATTCATAACTGCTAAATGAAGGAATGGGAAATCTTTAGCCCAAGGATATTGTTGTCTCGATTGTGAAGGAAATCTTCAGGTGATTTGCAAAATATTTTACCTTTAAATAATAAAACTTATGTTCTGAAGGAAGCAATTTACTCAGTGATACACAGGAAATTGTGCTACTTCTTATCTGCATGCATTCATTCTACGATAAAGGGAAGTTTCTATTCAACAGAAACTTTGATAACATATAAAAAGGTACAGAAAAATAGGTGCCTAATTCCTCAAAAAGGCTTAAGTGTCTCACCCTCTAGTTGTTTGATCTGGAATTTTATGAATTCTAACTCAGAATGTTAATGTAACTTTTAAAAAATAGATGCAAGAATGAAATTTTAACATCTAATTTCATTATTTCATCTGTAAAGCATAAATCTGTTATTGCTCATGCATACAAGTTTCATTCAAAATACACAAGAGAGACTTGAGGAAATCAATACAAAAAATGACTTACCTAAAATTTCACTGTAAAACTGACTCCACTTCTTTTCATTAAATGTATGAAACCAAAAGTCAAAATACAGCAAGTGCATCATATTTTTTACCCTCTCCATGAAAATCATTTGACTGCTTAATCTTGACATAATAATAGGTACATAAGAAGGAGGAAACAGAAGACCTCCCTTGTACTTTTAATAAGTATAACCAGGAGAGAAGCGGAGGTTGTACACAAAAGAAATTTTCAGTAGTTCAGCCAACAGGTCCCCACCAGAAAAGGTGACATCTACAAGAAGGACGTCAAATTTTAATTCTTGTAACTTTGTCAGAAGTTTTTTGTTCAGAACTGCATCTTTACTAATGTTATAATAAATATCAGAAAATTCCCAAAACATGCTTTGTAGTAGTGGAAAATATTTCCAGTGGGCATCCTGTTGTATATTATATATCCAGGTATCAAACATTTGTTGAAAAAAATTCCTCATTTCTTCTGTATTGGAAGATGTAGGAAAAGTTTCAAATTTCATATCAGATGGACTATTAAGATTAAGAAAAGCAGAGGATGAAGGTCTGAGGACTGTCACCTGATGGCCCCGCTGTACAAGTTCAGTGAGAATCACATGTGCATTCAACCAATGGCTAAATTCCATGTGCCACACCAACACTCTCCCACAGCTCCCAGCACTAAAGTAACAGCACAAAGGTAGCAGCAGCAGAATTCTCTTCGTTACCCTAGACATCGTGCTACAGCCGAGTGCTTCCTGCCACAGTACTCTGCTTGCTGTAATTAGTAGTGATGCTTACTAGTATTTATTTAATGTGAACGAAGAAGTTAAAGTATAACTTTCATTGATCAGCGTCCAAGTTAGTTTCCTCAATGCCGAGGCAATACATAAATCCCAAAGGTAAAGAGGGAAGTGTTTGTTTAGCACATAGGTTGTGGAAATTTTAGTCCATAACCTACAGACTCCAAGGTATGTTGGCTTTTCAGAGGGGCATTGCAGAGAAAATAAAAAAGCAGTGTGTGAGAAGTAGAAGACACCAAAAGCAAGGTAGCATTGGACCTTCACAGTGTCTCTCTGTGCCTTTTATCTTATCCAGGCTGCTCAGAGCAGGAAGCACTCACACCCATACTCCCAGTGCTTTTGAGCCTCATACTGCATCAAGAATTAATCCCAGTATCACACACTCTCATTCGGCCACCTCTGAAAAAGCCCAACCTGTGACCCCATGAAGCTTTGTGGGGAAATCAAGACACAATCCATAACAACCACTAGATTCCTAAATGATTAATCAGAGCAAAAGACCGAGACAGCAAGCAAAAAAATTAAAGTTAAGGGCATCATGCTCTTAAATATCTATTTTTCTGATTAAGGGGCTTGACTTGGTGAGGTAGAGGTTACCTGTTTATGTGAGTTATAATGGATTACCTGTGTCATATAATGGATTAATATCCATTCCAGAAATAGTAGAAAGTGAGAAGTGACTTTTGTGTACAGAGATTTTAAAACATGTGACACAAATTGAGAGATAAAGGAAGCAGCTGTAAGTTATTTCTGGGGTATTGTGATTCAATGCATAATTTCAATAAATTTGCTTTGTAAAAATACTAATGAAAAGCAATTGATATACATATAATTACCCAACTTAAAGTGTATAATATACATGATGCTGTTGACCTGCCCAGATGGCCTTGAGTAGTGTCTCAGCAGCTCTCCCAAGTGACCCAGCTGGGAGAGGCACTCAGGAAGCATTTAAATGTCTCATCCCATCCAACAACTGCCCAGGAATCAGCCAGACATTTCCACCAATACCCTGAATGTTCCCAACTAAGACCCAAGCACACAGCACTACCCAGCAACCCTCAGCGCTAAAAAATAGAAGCAGCCCATACTGAGTGACTCTGTTCACAGCATGCCTGTGAAGCAAAGAAAGGGCCCTGCCTGCACATCCTGGCTCCCAGGAAGAAGTCAAGCAGGCTAAGCATGCTGAAACTCTCAGACATCATCCAGGGGGCTTCCCCTGCCTTCTATGGTTCGAAGAAGAAATTGAGCATCTCATTCTCAAGTGCTTGGCCTGAAAAGACACTGAGAAATGGAAAATTGGGAGGTGTCTTTATATGTTATCAACTGTAGGAAGCAGCTTGCAAGCCTGTATGAAACAGCTTAGATTCCTTGACAGAAGTTTGGCAGCTTTTGAAAAATCACTGTTGGTCTTCCTATGCCCATCTGAGCCCTATGCACACACACACACACACACACACACACACACACACACACACACACACAGTCTGATAGTACTCCAACAATTCCACATAGACCTGCTGAGGCGGACACCTAGCCAACCCCATTGCATACACAATTTAGCCATATAAGCTCACAGAACCAACAGCTTTAAAGTAGTGTAGCACAACCTAATCTCCCAACTTGATTTCCCAGAAGAGTTCTATGTCTTGTCGCAGTGCATTCACACAGTTCCAAAACCTAGACCAGTGAGAGAGACATCCGTAGGCATCACCTGCACTAAATTGACCTGAGGAAGCTAAAGTGACACAACCCTAAAGCACAGACCCAGTATCAATTCAATGAAGCCTGTGCACACAGAGCTTATGGTGAAACCATCCTAAGCCATTTGTTGATACAATGCACCTGACATCCCCGGATAGAACTGTAGGGGCACTAAAAGCACTAAATAAATAAATAAATGAATAAATAAATAAATGAATGAATAAATAGTAGGAAATTACTCTGACAACTAAAGTGGAACAGGAAAGATTTTTATGCTATGCACAGGTTTTAAAGACATAAATGATATAAATGTAAAATAGAATTGAAAATAATGTTTATAAAGAGACATAATAATACAAAAAAGCAATCTCCAAAAAGAGTTCAATAAATTTAAAAAGATAATAAAAATGTCAACAGCAGAATAAATTGGGTAGAGTAAATAGCTATGGAACTTCATGATATGTTGCTTAATGAGACTATATTAGATAAGGAAAAGGAAAATAATTAAAAGAAAGAGAAAACAGGCAGAATTTTGAGATTTACTATGTGAGAAATTACTCATTTACACTATAAATGTTACAGAACGAAAAGCTAGAAGAAAGAATAAAATATTTTTACAAAGTATTTGCTGAAAATATTAGAAATCTTTGGAAATATAAATCCATCCAAGTCCGTGAATCTCAATGAACCCTTAGAAGACTTTATAAAGCATCTTCTTCAAGGTATATTGTAATAAATCTATCAGAAAGCCAATACAAACAGAAATTATAAAACCATGGAATTAAGTCATTTATTTGAAAATCTCTGAAGAATGGAAACAAACTTGATGCTTTCTAAGTAGAATACTTTGCAGAAGGAAATTTTAGGATGTTCTCTTTATGCACATGCAACAAAATGAAACGTGAAACAGGAATGCTATCATTAGAAAAATAATCTGTCAAAAAATACAGATAAATAATATCTTTCCACAAGAAGAAAGATTGAGGGAATTTTTTATTACCAGCCTGCTCCTAAAAGAAATGCTTAAAAGAGTCCTGCATTACAAAGAGAAATATTGTAGTCATAATGAAAATATAAGGATATAAGCTAAATAATAAAACAATTATAGAAATAAAGACTGATATGTCATACTGGATCAGAAAAAATACCAACACACAATAAAGATAATTAATAAAGGGGTAAAATTAAAAGATACTCACAGGAAACAGAGAAATTTAACAAAGTTAAGTGTATGCTTCCTTATAAATAAGATTCTTGCACAAAATCAGATTAAATGTTCTCTAACAAGACGTAGAAAATATGAATAGCTCAAAAACACATGAAATGTGCTATCAAATCTAAGAGTTGCCAAGATGATCTACAATGATGAAAACATATTAAAGAAGGAGAAACTTACTGGAATTTGCTTGATGCATTATTACAAAATCACTTTGTTCCCATTTCACAATATTTATTTAAATTTTGGATCTTTTTTACAATAGGGAGACAACGCAAAGTTTACATATGTAACTCTCATTTATTTCATATATGAGTATGGTCTCCAGTTGCATCCAATTACCTACAAATGTCTGAAGTTAGTGAAGAAATTATTCAAAAGGAATGAGGGAGAAGGGTGAGGGAAACAGGAAAGGAGGAAGAGAAAAGGAAAACATAACAGAGAGCTGTACACTTAGTTTCTACTAGTTCATTGAAAAGAAAGGTTTGTTCTAATATCGTTTGGAGAAACTTTATGCCCATACATTTTACAGTGAGTAACTATTTTGACAATAACTCTGTGCAATGTATAAGCTATTGTTATTCTATTTTATTTGCAATTTTGTTTTTATAAATAAAATTTTTAAACCGCTTTATTGTTGTACAATAATGTATATGCATAAAATCTCTTATGTCTTGAAAATGCTTAAAGAGAATTATCTATCACTTTCTTTCATTGTTCTTCTCCAGTTTTGAGGTGTATTTGGCTTTGCACTGATACGATTATATACTCAAAAGTAATAATGAATATTGTATTTGTCTGTTTATCATCTGGATTTTTGTGGCTAAATAGATTAACAAATTTTCTATTTTTCTACAGAAAGTACACAAAATGTTTTCCATGTGTCAAGTATAATAACCATACATTTCTCTCATCTATTTTTTTAAATACATTTTTTATCAATCATCACCGCTCTTATATTTGGATTCCTTCTCTCAGAAGTTTGAAAACAAGATGTGATCTTTCTAATGTTTATAGTTCCCATTTCAGTTTAAGTTTAAAAGTTGCTGCACTCAATATCTGTGCCTTTATTATATTTTCAACTTATTTTTTATGAATTGTAAAGGGAAGATAAAAACAAAATAAAATGGATGTCTTGGACTCAGGTTCACAGTGTCCCCTGGCATTTTAATTGTTTTCACCAGGAGAGAGATTCTTGTCTCCTGTCATCTGATCACAGACTTCCACTGGATAAGCAGTCAATTACCACTTGTTTCAGGAGTCTTCAGTATCGGACTCTGGGAATGCCAGGGTCAGCGTTGGAAGTGTGAAATTTATCCCCTGACTACACTGACATTCACGTGGCACACAGAGCCAACACTGGTCTGCTTTGAATCCGTACCCAGCATACTGGGGTAGCTGGTGTCTGCACCTATCTCATACTCCATTCAGTCTTAGATTGGCCAGAGACTGTGTGTGACACCAGCACTAGTCCTTGGTTGCTTGGGTCTCCATGGGGAATTTCAATCCCACACAAGTCGCCATCTGGTGCATCTCGCCATGGCAGTGTCTGTTCAGCACCAGGTATGCTGGCCTCTCCACTCTGGGCACAGTGCATTCTCCACACTTCATTTTGTCAGAGCCCTGTGCAAAGTCACTGACAGGCAGAGTAGGCCAGAGCTCTGCCTGAGAAGGAAAAAAGACAAATAGTTTGGCTGGTTTTTCTCGTGCTCTGGACAGCTGTGAGGCAACACCCAGCACTCTGTACCCTCACTGAGCGTGCTGGGATCTCTCCATGTCAGACCCAGGAGAACCCGCATCTCCTCTGAGTGATCTGTGCTGATATAAACCTCAACCTGGAATCTCAAGCTGGTTCTACAGGCTCCAGAATATACATCATATATTCAGCATTGGCCCCCAAACAGCAAGAGTCCATGCTAGGACCCTCAGAATACAATGCTGCAAGGATTTCTGGGGTTGGAATGAAGTATTTCAAGCCCTGAAAAGCAAACAACAACCAGCATAGATAAATATATTC